AGCTTTGTCAGACAGGGAGAGCACTTCGGAAATGTTTATACGTTCAGCTGACTGCTACACTGAACATTTCACTCCAGATAAGATCAGATGGTGAATTCCAGGGATTGAACATCGCGGCAAGAGATGAAGAATTCTTACAGTTCCCATTGTCAAGTATTGTCCACGTGACACTGCTTCTTTATAACAACAGCAACAACTTATACTTGTATAACACCCTTCCTGCGGGTAATTTCTCAGAGCACTTAACAACAGCATGGCTTCAAGCCGAGCCAGAAAGGAGATAGGGGTGGCGACCGAAGGTACATATTCACTTGTTTAGAAGGTTGAGGGCTAATAATAAATAACAATAATAATCCTTGCATTTGATACAGAGCTTTATCACGTCTTCGAGACGTCTCAAAATGCTTCACAGAGTATACTAGTAAAGTGACTGTATATTTTGTGGGCGAAACGCAACACCGAATTGCGCACAGCAGTGGCCCACAAACAGTCGTGGATTGAGATGTGAACTGCAGATGGTTTCAGTCTCTCTGCTACAGGGTTTATCTGATGTAGCAAAGCAAGTGGACTCGGAATGCTTTACACGTAAATAACTTCGGGGAGTTTGCATCTCGCGATTATTGGTTGGGATGATCTGATTGAGGTGTTTAAAATGATCAAGGGATTCACACAAAGGGTTTTCGAAATCTGGAACTCTCTCCCCCAAAAGACAGTGGATGCTGGAATAATTAAAATTTTCCAGACTGAGATCGATAGATTTTTGTTAGGTAAGACTATCAAGGGATATGGATCAAAGGCGGGTAAGTGGAGTTGAGGTATAGATTAGCCATGAGCTAATAGAATGGTGGAACAGCGATGAGGGGCTGAATGACTTATTCCTGTTTCCAGTTTCCTGTGAAGTGGAAACCCAAGCAACAACAACAAATTACATTTGTATAGCACCTTTCACATCGGGAGGACGTCCCAAGGCGCTGGTAGGAAGTGGTCCAGAAGTGGCAGGAAATTGACGAAAGCTGTAATAAAGTCTTTCTGCCCAGCAAAGCCCTTAAAGAGTCTCTCGCTCTCTTTTACAACATTGCAGTAATTTTTTAAAAATCCTCCAATGTAGAAAATAAGCATTTTTCTCTCTCGCTGTTCACGGTTAAGCCTGTTTAAAGTACTGAAAATCAGGTGGCAGCTATGTGAAGAGATTGACCCATTAATCTTTCTGCGTTATGCAGAGAGATGACAAGACAGTGCAGCAGTAGGAGTTTCTATAATGTCAAATCAGATTTGGCTGTTGAATGAATTCTGTTTATCGGGGCTTTGATGTATTGGAGAAGAAGATTGCCATTGATTTTGAGGTGACTTTGGCTCGCTTGTTGAAGATTGGCGGAAACAATGTCCACTCTATATCAATTGCCTTCTGCTCTGGTTATTTATAAAGTATCCAGTTAAATGAGCTGACCTAACTGCACAAGCTAGTTACTGTTGACTCTTGTGGAGTCCTGTAGCTTAGTGGTTAGAGCACTCGTCTCAAAAGCGAGAGGAACTCAGTTTGATTCCCAGGCAGAACGAAACAGTAGTCAAGTTTCCTTAAGCCACACGCTTGTGTTTACCTAGGAGTAAGTAGGAACCCTTTAGTTGATTGGCGGACCACTTTTCCAGGGTAATAATCCCTTCAAAAAACAATAATAATCATAATAATTTGGTCAATCAATCAACGACTGTCTGTGAGACACTGCTGTGTGCAATTGGGTGCCGTGTTCAAAACAACTTTTTGAAGGGATTATTATCCTGCAGAACAATCCGCCAATCAACTCACAACTGGATTCCTAATTACTGTTAGGTAAACACAGTAAGGAAACTTGCCTAAGGTTTCGCCCTGCCTGGGAATCACACCTGGGTCCTCTCGCTTGTGAGGCGAGTGCTCTAACCAATATGTTGCAGGACTCCACAGGTTTAATGAAGTAGGCACTTTGGCTCACGTCTCTCATCTTTCAGTGTGTCAGCCTTGCCGGCTTCCTGTTATAGAAATTCCTTGCAGCTGTTCACTGTTCTCTGTGTAATGTAATGCATCCTGGTGGCTATCCTAAAATTGCCCTTCACACCCTGAACCCTTGCCCTGATGTTTACCGATGTTTAAGTGCTCCGAGAAGTCATCCGGCATGGAGGATGGCTTCTCGGTTGTTGCAAGTTGTTGTTATTGTTGGATTATTGTAGCTCTTTGAAAAAAATGTAAAATATATTTTGAATAATACACAGTCAATCCACTTTATAGCATATCGTGTGAAGCACTTTTGAGACATCTCGACGACGTGATAGACGCTATATCAAATGCAAGGATTATTATTATTATTATTATTATCCTTTCCCTGTCTTTTTTCCATACCCCATAATTTATGGTCCACAAAGTGCAAATTGACTGCCACATTCACCTCCAAATACAGTCACTATTCTGTACAGTATATCCTGTGAAGTGATTTTGGACATGTCTACGTAATAAGGCCCTATCAAATGCAAAAATTATAGTCTCGAGCAGTCCCGTATAATGGTTAGAGTGCTTGCCTCGCAAGCGAGCTGACCTACGTTTGATTTCCGGGCGGGGTGAAACCTTATGCAAGTTTCCTTACTCCATAAGCCTTTCTTTATCTAGCAGTAAGTAGAAACACGGTTGTAAATCGATTGGCTTTCCGAGCGTAATAATTCCTCAAAAAAAAATTGGGGCTCTTAATCCACGACTGTTTGTGGGACACTGCCGTGCATAATTGCCTATCACATTTCGCCCACAAAATATACAGTCAATCCACTTTACAATATATTCTGTGAAGTGCATCGAGACATCTCAACAACATTAAGGTGCTATATCAAAAGCAAGGGATATTATTATTATTATTAGGATTATCTAAGGCTCCCAGCAAGAGCCCAACAGCTCTCGTGATCTAAGGCTCCAAAATGATTTTTGTCATAAATATTTGTTACCCTCAGTCGTAGTTTAGAAGCTGTTTTTCCGCAGTTCTTAAAAAGTAACTAGTTTCCAAATTAAGACTTGAGTTTAAGGTATTTCGCAAACAAAATATGTAGTATTAAATTTTAAGACTGTGGTTTTAAGGCTAAGACCTTGAGAGATCTCAGGCTTATCTGATAGTGTTACAGAGATATATAGAATTGAATGGGTTCCATTTGTTACTTTGCTCTGTACCAATCCAGATAATTGCAGACATACTTCCCTCAATTTGTCAGATCTCCCTTGTGTAGGATTTCTGACGTAAGATTAAAAAAAACATTTCCTGAATGTGCAATGCATTGGATTGAGCCAATTTCCTACCAGGCATTACCAAGAGACTGCAATCGATTTGGACGTCTAAATCAATTTTGTATAAATATTAAATATGTTTTGGTCAAGTCTGTTTTTTGTTTAGATTGAATACCACCAATGAATGAATGATTGAAGAGTCTGCGAAATAATGAAGTGCAAATTGCTGCGCTTACATGTAGGAAGTGATCCCAACAAGGCTCAATACGATAGTTAAACTTTTGCCAGGATATAGTACCATAATGCACACATGGTTGCGAGATTTCACTTGAAGGCAGCACACAGGTGTAATAAATTTATATTTGTGTGTTTTGCTCTGTACTACAATGTGCAACATTTTTTATATCTGATAACAAAGGGTTTTGTGATCTGCAAACAGTTAGACTGCGGCCCATATCGGGCTGTTGATTATAATGGAATCCTATAGCTCAGTGGCTGGAGCACTCGCCTCACAAGTGAGAGACCTGGGCGAAATGTTGGGCAAGATTCCTTACTCCACACGCCTCTGTTTGCCTTGCAGTAAGTAGGAACCCAGTTGTAAATTTATTGATGCACCGTTTTTCCAGGGGTAATAATTCCTTCAAAAAAAATAGTAATAATAAATTGTTCACTTCAATCCACTGTGGGACACTGCTGGCCAATTGGCTGCCGAGTTTTGCCCACAAAAAATACAGTAAATTCACTTTGTGGTATATTATTATATATGGGTTGTTCTTACTGAAAAAAGGGGGAGGGTTTGAAATAATGATGAGGGATGTGTCAATTAGCATCAATTTTGCTACTATGCTAATTAATACGTGCAATCTAAAAAAGCCTCTGTCGATAATTGATAACAAAAGCAGAAGTTGCTGAGAACATTCGGCAGGTCAGGCAGCATCTATAGAGAAAGGAAAGTGAGTCAACATTTCGGGTCCATGACCCTTTGTTCTGATGAAGGGTCGTGGACCTGAAACGTTGACTCACTTTCGTGTCAACGTGCCGAGAGTTCCCAGCGACTTCTGTTTTTGTTTCAGATTTCCAACAACTGCAGTATTTTGCGTTTTGTCGATAATTAATACACTGGTGAGTCCCGAAGCAGATGGGACAGGCTTCAAAACAGCTGTGCCTAAATGTTGGAAGATATGTTACCTCTGGATGAAATCCCCTGCCCAATCCCTCCGCCTTGTCCCCTCTTTGCCCGTTTTCAAATCGCGCCTGAAGTCTATCCTCTTTGACCATGCCTACATTCCTACTTTCCATTTTCTCTCAAGCTCAGCACCAGACTATGCCATTTGGTGTGTGTGAGGATGCAGGTGGCAGAGTTTTGTTGTGTGAGCTGGTTACCATTTATAATGTGTGGAAATTTTCCATTGTAAGCACAAATTATCCAATTCCTCTCACTTAACAGCAAAAGATATTCTCTCCCTTCGACCATTGTGTTGTATTTACAAATTTACACATTGCACATTAGCCTTGACACAGCTTTCAAACAAACCTCAACAATTGTTTCCTTGTGTGTGTGTGAGACAGAACATTAGTTATTTGATATCTGCCATCCATACACACGCATACACACACATGCACGTACACTTCTCTGTTGCCAATAATACAGAAAATGTGCTGTTGAAAGGGTTTTTCTTTGAAAAGAACACTATCCTTCAGAGAGATATGTCAGTCTGAGTGAAATTGGTTGGTGGAAATTGAACATTGTTTTCTCTTTGTGAAGGACTACAATGATGAAATCCGTCAGGAGCAGTTAAGAGAGCTGTCGTATCTGAATGGTTCAGAGGAATCCAGTCGAGGGCGAGGCACGAGAGGACGAGCCATTCGATCTCCCCTCACACCCCCAGCAAGGTACTAACCTTCATTAAAGGAACAATGGGGAACATGCATTCATTTCATTCGGCTCCCCTACTGTTAACCCTGAAAGCCGAGGTCCCAATGGGTAAAGTGGTCCTAGCTGGTCAAGCAGCAGGAAAGCTTGCCACAACAGTTGGCTACAGCACGCCAAGTGTACAGTCTGGGGTCTCCAACCCTCGGCTCTTGCCAACCGGCATCCAATATTCCTGGATTTGGTGTTTCGTTTCAGGGAGAGTTGCATGTTCTATTCCAGACACATTTCCATGTGTAATAATAATCCTAGCATTTGATATAGAGCCTTATCACATCATTGAGCCATCTCAAACTGCTTCACAGAGCATATTGTAAAGGGTGTATTTTGTGGGCGAAAGGTGTAGGTGGGGTGCATGGAATTCTTGGTTTGGTTTGGATACACGTAAGCATGGTGAAGGGGTTTCCGCCCATGTCAACACCCGGCTGAGCCCCCCAAAAAATATAAGGAAAAGTGGGGCAGCTTACTCACCAGTTGTCTGCTGTGCCTCTTTTTTGTGCCTCTTTGAAAGAGCTACCAACTCGTCCCACTCCCTCGCTCTTACCTCTAGCCTTGCATGTTTTTCCTTTTTAAGTACCTATCCAATTCCCTTTTGAAAGCTATTATCGAATCGGCTTCCACCAACAACAAGAACAATTTGGATTTATATAGCTCCCTCTACGCCCGACGGCTTCTCAGAGTGCTTCACAGTAATGGATCCTGAGGCCGAACCAGGGAGAGGGGGAGAAGGTGACCAAAGGCGCAGTCGAAAAGAAAGGTCTTCAGCAAAGACCTGAAAATAGGAATAGAGGGAGCGAGATGAAGGGAGTGAGGAAGGGAGTTCCAGAGCCTCGGGACATAGTGGCTAAAGGCACGGCCGCTGAGGGTGAAGCGGAGGACTCGGGGGACGAGGAGGAGGCCAGACCCGGAGGAACAAAGGCAACGGGCACTGTTTTGAGGAGAGAGGAGGTCAGAGAGGTAGGGGGCGTACAGAGGAGTGGAGGGATTTGAAGACAAGGGTGAGGATCTTGAAGTAGATCTTGTCTGGGACAGGCAGCCAGTGCAGTCTGACAAGGACTGGGGTGATCGGGGAATGGAGTTTGGTGCGGGTGAGAATATGGGCGGCAGAGTTTTGAATAAAACTGAATTTTATGGATGGTAGTGGAGGGGAGACCGGCGAGGAGGGTGTTTGAATAGTCCAGCTGAAAGGTGACAAAGGCATGGACCAGGGTTTCAGCGGCTTTCGGAGAGAGGTATTTCACTTTCTTTCAGGCAGTGCATTCGCACCAACTCTCTGGGTAGAAAAAATTCTCCTCGTCTCCCCTCTGGTTCTTTTGCCAATAATTTTAAATCTATGCCCTCTGGTTACTGACTCACCCGCCAGATGAAACATTTCTCCCTAACTATTCCATCAAAACCCCTCATAATTTTGAACACCTCTATTAAATTTTCCCTCAACCTTCTCTGTTCTAAGGAAAGTAATCCCAGCCTCTCTACTCTCTCCACATAACTGAAGTCCCTCATCCCTGGTATCATTCTGGTACCATTATGTCCTACTTTTGTACTCTATACCTCTGGACGGTAAGCCAAGGATTCTTTTTGTATTCTTCATGGAGTCTTTTGAACTGCTATTTAAACAGACTTGTGAAACTGAACCCCTGGATTCCTTTGTTCCTCTATGGCTCTTAGTTTCCTAAATCTTTCTCCTGGGAGAACAGTACAGAGTATCAGTTACTGTAATACAAATCGAGAAATGCGGTAGGGCAGCCCCAACATTTTTTAGGACGAGCTACCAAAAAAAAAGCAGCCAAAAATAATGTCATGTGGATTCTGCCTAGGAAATGACAAGAACCTTTATACACTTGTTTTTTTCCAAACAATGAAACAGTTGCCTGGGTTCTTATCATTAGCCCTGCCTCCAGCATCTCATTCTCCTCCAGAACAAAAAGCTTTGGGCGTTTGCATATATTTAAATTCGACCCCTAGCCTTGAGTCGGGGTAGACTAACATTGCTGCTGCTGCTTTCTATCGTGCCATAATATCTCTGGTTCACCATACATTTTGATAAATCCTGCCTTTTTTGAAGGAGGAGAGCTTGCATTTTCGGAGCACCTTATTATCGAGGAAATATCTCAAATTGCCTCGCAGACAATTACTGCAAAGTGCAGTGGCCACATTTGTTGGCAAACAAATTTATATTGGCAATAGGAGCGGCGGATAGGATGACAGGAGACCTTTGAGGATTCATCTGGCCGTGAAGCAAATTGAATTCGATGTTTCAAAGAATTCAATATGTGGTCGTATCACTTTTTCATGTTGTTTTGCAGAACAACCCTTATTACAGTACTCCCTCGTTAATCCAGATGTGTTTTGAACCCACTCTAATCAGAAGTATGGTTAGTTGTCTTCCTTTGTTAAATAAAAATGGGCCACCATCCAGGTAGTCACCGTTGCCACAGATGTCATTTCCTGTGTGCATGCGTGCTAAAACACAGGGAGCTTCTCAATGATATCACTTCCTGTATGCCGGGTAGGGACATTATGTGCAAGAAGTGCAGCTCACGTTACTTTAAGAGCTTTAAAAGTGACTTCAAAAATTAACTATTTATTAATAAGCCCAAGGCCAAATGTTTAAAAAAGTATTTTGACTGGGGAGAATGACATGGAACAGAAACAGGTTGTTCGGCCCAATTAATCTCCACATGACAGCGTGAATCTTACCCCTCTTTGGTAGTTGAATACTGGAAAAGAATTTAAAACAAAATTAAAAGTTGCTCTCCAACCTACACTTTACAATACAAAAGTTACTTTGCTTCAGTATTGTCAACGATGTCGGCAATCTACTCTGTGGACGAAGAATTGACTTACCAGGATGCTGCCGACTGACTTACGTAAATGAACACCATTAATGCTTAAATGATTGCAAGTTTTAGTCCAATTTTTTTACTCATTCTTAGGATAATAGTAATCCTTACATTTGATATAGTGCCTTATCATGTAATTGATAGTTGTCAAGGTGCTTCGCAGGACACACTGTAAAGTGAATTGACTATATATTTTGTGGGCGAATGGGCCAGCCAGTTGGATAATAATAAACTCCCTTCTATTTTCAAATAGTGCCATAGGATCTTTGATATCTACCTGAACATGGGACCTCGGTTTAACGTCCCATCTGAAGAATGTGGGTAACTCTGGCAGAACCAACATTTATTGACCATCTCTGATTGCTCTGAGAAGGTGGTGATCATGGGACCTTTTCTTGAAACTGCTGCTTATGGCAATGGTGCTCCCACAATGTTAAATAGGGAGATTTAGTGAGTTGACCCCATGATAATAAAGCAAAGATGCTGATATGTGTACAGGTCAGTCTATTATTTTTTGTCAGCCAGGTATTTGACACCCAGAAATCCATCACTATGTTTAAAAACCAACTGAGAGTTCCACACATGTACGTCACCAACACATGGAAATTTCCCTGTGTATGGAATGTGCACTGTCTCCCTGCTTTTACCTAATTCTGGAGAGTATTTGGTACAGGTTGACAAGAACCAAGCCTTGAGGACTCCATAGATTGCATTGGGGTAAATGCTAGAGTTTAACCAGCTAAAACCAAAGATAGCTTGCCATCAAAAGCAATATCTGGCAAGCTTCCCGCTGCTTGTCCAGCTGGGACCACCAACCCTGCCCATTACGGCTTTGGCTTGCAGGGTTAACAGGAGTCAAGTGGAAATAATTCTACCAATAATTCCAAGCCAGGATAGTGTGTGACATAGAGAGGAACCTGGGGGTGGTGTGGAGCCTCATAGTGTAGTGCTTAGTGCGATCGCCTCATAAACGAGAGGATCCAGGTTTGATTCCTGGGCGAAGTGAAACCTTATTCCATGTACTTCTGTTTACGTAGCGGTAAGTAGGAACTCAGTTGTTCGTCGATTGACAGATTGCTTTCCAAAATTAATAATCCCTCAAAATGTTTTTTTTACTCAATCCACAATTGTTTGAGGGCCACTGCTGACCACAATTGTCTGTTGTGTTTTGCCCACAAAATATACAGTCAATCGAATATACAATATATTCTGTGAAGCGATTTGAGATGTTATTTCAAATGCAAGGATTATGTTACGTATAGCTCGCAATGACCTAACAACAACAACAAAATTACATTTGTATAGCGCCTTTCATGTCGGGAGGACGTCCCAAGGTGCTAGACAGTCAGTGTTATGGACCCGAGCTGGGGTTTGGGATTCGGGAGGGTGGAAGGCAGGGGTGAAGGAGGGTGATTGAAAGCACGGTCGAAGAGGAGGGTCTTGAGATGGGTCTTGAAGGAAGCAAGGGAGGCGGCGAGGTGGAGGGACTGCGGGATGGAGTTCCAGAGGGTGGGGGCAAAGTGGCAGAAGGCTCGCCTGCCAATAGTGGGGCGAGCGAGGTGGGAGACGTGAAGCAGGCTGGAGCCCGCTGAGCGGTTGGAGTGGGCAGGCTGTTAGGGGCTAGGATGTCACAGAGGTAGGGGAGAGGGAGGCCATGGAGGGCTTTGAAGGTGAGGACCAGGATCTTGAACTGTATCCTCTGTGTGATGGGAAGCCAGTGGAGTCGGACAAAGATAGCGGTGATAGGGTCACGGAGCCTGGTGTGGGAGAGGACACGGGCTGCAGAGTTCTGGATGATCTGCAGCCTATGGAGGAAGGAGTTACAAACAAATGTAACGTGTTTGTAAGGAGCTCCTTTTATTTCCCAACATCTTTGTCTGTTGTTCCATTAGGGGACGAGGAGTCGCGCTCCTGCCAGGACGGGGAGTTCCGGCACCCAGAGGAACACCGGTTGCACGTGGCGTGCCCCCCCCGCTCCCCCACACCACCCGTGGGACACCAGCACCTCGAGCAAGGGGTGGCCCAGGGGCACAGGCTGGTTACAGGCCTCCACCTCCTCCAGAGGAAGATACCTACGATGAATACGTGAGTACCAGACGTAGGCAGGAAACATCTGAAAGCAGCAGTATTCAGAGGAATTGTACCACTTAACGATGGTAATAGAGTTTATTTATTTTACGCTCTTCCGTGCACCCCTCCCTCTACTTCATCTGGCCCACCCACTCCCTCCACTACCAATAAATGTTATGTTATGTTTCTGGAAGGGAAAAAATATTGCTTATGCGGCAAATAATGCATTTGGCCCTCAGCAGCCAAAAGGTTGAACCATACTGTTTTAAATAATTGACGAATATATATTAGAAACCCGAAATTTCACCCAGTCTCAGACTGCAAGACCATTTCGCTGTGATTTGAGATTGCGCCCGTATTGTGGTAAATTCTTAAGTTTATGTCTCAATTTGGGAATCGGTTCCTTTTTAGGAACCGCCATACATGGGAGTGATAAAAGGAAACCCAGATCAATGCTTTAGGATACACCGAGACAGTAGAACTAGAGGGCACAGGTTTAGAGTTGTGAAGTGCAGTTTCAGGACAGAGACCAGGAAGCATTTCTTTACTCAGTGGTAATTATCGACTGGAACAGATTGGCTATCACCAATTCTGTGCTTTCTGAGATGCTTGAAGGCTGTTGTTCCACATCACTGATCTCCTATCACTCAGCAGGTCGTAGAGATACAAATTACAAGTGATCCTTTTTTTAGTACTGTAAGAATTTCTAACAACCTGCTTCAATCATAATCACATAAATAACAACATATTTTTACAGCGAACATGATTAGTGCTGAGCTGAGTTGGATTTGAATGTTTTGCCATAGATTTAGTCTGTTAATTGAGTCTGTGTTCAATGTGATGCTGTTCTGGAGGGGGATTCTTCCCACTCTGCTCCTGTTAACCTGCAAGCCAAAGCCCTAATTGGTAGGGTGGCCCGAGCTGGGCACGCAGCTTTACCGGACAGTGTTCACAATGACAAACTGATGCTGATTGATTTATTTCAGGGTGGTCCAACTGGTTGGGGCTTTGAACTCACATTCTAGATTGACGTTCCAATTCACTACTGGGTAGGGGTGGTGTTGTAGGTGTCTTTCTTCAGATGAGATGTTCAAACCAAAATGCTGTCTGCCTGTTCAGGTGGATGATAAAAGTCTGACACTATTTCAAAAGAGAAGAGAGTTTCTCTTCACAAACCTGTGAAGTGTTTTGAGATATCCTCCCGACATGAAAGGCATGCATCAAAAAAGCAAGGATTATTACTATTGATCAATAATAGTTATAAATAATTCAGGTGCCAATAACATGAGAATTGTGTATGTTGTCCATCAAAGGCCCAACATCACATATGGTCTGAGCCTTAAGATTTAAGGTCTTACCCTTAAGACCATTGCCTTAAAATTTAAGATTGTGCAGAAAATTGTAGATTCTCAGAGTTATTACTTTCTATGCTAAGTAGGATCCTGGTTGTTAGTCGATTGGCAGATCGCTTTTCCGGGAGGTAATAATCCTTTCAAAAATAAATAATAATAATAATTTGATCACTCAATCTGTGACTAATACCTGGATTAATAACTGGAACAGGTTTCCAGGAAGGGTGGTTGAAGCCAGTCATCGGACTCATTTAAAATGTTTGATACAGTGATGGAAGGGCTGTAATGGGTGGGTGTTTTGGAGGGATAAGATCAGTGGACCAAAGAACACAGTTGCTTATTCAATGAGACGATCTTGTGAACGTTCTTGTTTTGACCTCCTTTTGACCAACATGAAGTATTTTGAAGGCAACTTCAGTCAGACACCAAATCTCGTCTGTTTGCACGTCACAGCTATTCCCTCAAACCATGCAGACCAGCAAGCTTGTTCTCCCTTGGATTTTTAACCTTCCAAAGGGAAAATCTTTCTTCCAATCTTGCTTTGTACGGTTCTCATTTTTACTGAGGAATCCTCGGTGCCACATTTTATTAAGAAAAATTTCCCCAGATACTGCTAATTGGTTAATTCAGTAGCGTCTGAGTTGAGAAGCTTGTTTCTAATGATGGTTCCGCTCTGGTGTATTCCTAAACAATGGGAGGTCCTTTCTTTATCCAGGAATTACCAGTAATTTCCATTGGGTCAGTTTTGTCTTTTTGATTAAGGAAACATTTTATTCTAATTTAGTTCACTTTAGTTGGTGATGTATTATGAAAGAAAATAAATCATCTCTTGCATTCTGATATGCGAACGTCAAAACATCTCAAAGCACTTTACAAGCAGTTGCTGTTGAATTTAGTGACTATGTGCTTGTAGACAAACATACCAACCTTTAATTAATTTGCCCACAAAAATACAGTCACTACACTTTACAATATATTCTGTGAAACGCTTTGAGACGTCTCAATGCTATATCAAATGTAAGGATTATTGTTATTATGATTTCCAAATGTTGATTTGTGTTTGATTATTCTCCTTGATGGGACTCTCAGTCCATAGAACTTTACAGCACAGAAGTCTGTTTTGGACATTCTTAAGCATGTTGTTGGGTTTCCATGTTTGTTGCAAATTACATTTGTATAGCGCCTTTCACATGGGGAGGATGTCCCAAAACACTGGACAGTCAAGGAGGTTCACCCGAGCTGAGGGTTGGCATCAAGAGGGGTAGAGGGCAGGAAAGGTAGGCTTAGAAGGGTGACCGAAGAGGAAGGTCTTGAGACAAGTTTTCGGGTCTGTGGTAAGAAGGGCACTCTTTGTTCTTTTTTCTCTCTCTTTGAGCAAAACAAAGTCCTAATGACAGCTAAGCTTGTGGCGTGCAGGATGTGTGTCCAAACAGATCTCCTGTTGGAGATGAGCTACGAGCCTTGCAGTGGAAAGGTTCCCTGCGGATCATGTGTGAGATCCAGGATCATGAGCGAAATGGGTAAACTTCTGCAGGGAGGGTAGCTCAGACCTACACTGAACAGCCACAGTGGGCACTGGAGGCAGTAGAGCTCACGGCAGGCTTGTCTCTCTGCCAAAGCACTTTCCGTTAAGCATGGATTAAGCACTTGTGTCCATCACGCTTTGTGTGTGACATTGGACTTGGACCTTTAGAATGTCATTGTGCTGACATGTCAAAAGCTGCTCTGCAAAGATCTCTCCACCAACATCAAACATCACCACCCTGAAGGCAGATGTTTGTCAAAACACAGATAAGGAAACTCTGAGGCTTTGGACAATGGTTAATGAAAGACATGACCTGGATTGTGGTTTGCTAACAAAATATTTTTATGTGCAGGAACACGCAGGAGTCACTGATAATGATGACAATCCTTACTTTTGTTGTAGCGCCTTTCACGCCAGGAGACTGTCTCAAAGCCCTTCACAGGATATAATGTAAAGCGTGTATTTTGGGGGCAAACAGAGTTACCCTGCTTATTGTGCGGTGTGCTAAACAAGCTAAACAACCACTGCTGACACCTGGCAAAGTAACAGCAGAGGCAGTCTAACTCTCAGGTTATCCAATAAAGTCGTCCTTTGAATGAGACGTTAAACTAAGATCCCGTTTGCCTGTTCAGATGGATATTAAAGATCGAATGTCACTATTCGAAAAGGGAAGGGAGTTTCTCCTGGTGTCCTGGCCAACAAATCCCCAAAATAAAATTGGTCACTCATTCCATGGCTGTTTGTGGGACACTGCTGTGTGCAAATTGGCTGCACGTTTCACCTATAGAATATAAGGTTACTGCACTTTACAGTACAACCAGTGAAGCACTTTGAAATGTCTTGACGAGTGATAAAGCTCTATGTAATAATAATAGTAATAATAATAAGCCTTGCATTTGATGTGGCCCTTTATCACATTGTTGTGATAAAGTGGATTGACCGCGGGCGAATGTGGCAGCCAATCGCACACAGCAGTGTCCCACAAACATTTGTGGATTGAGTGACAAATTGTTTTTTGACGGGATTATTAACCCTGGAAAGTGATCCACCAATCGACTAACAATCAGGTTCCTACTTACTGCTAGGTAAACAGAGGCGTGTGGAGTAAGGAAACTTGCCTAAGGTTTCGCCCTGCCCGGGAATCGAACCCGAGTCCTCTCGCTTGTGAGGTGAGTGCTCTAATCACTACACTACAGATTATGTAAAGAGTACACGTCTGTACCACATGTGCGCAGACTCAGATAAATGAAGTTCTTTTATGATAAACGTGCTAAAAAAAAATTGTCTATAGCGTTTCCGTCTGCAAGCCCCGATACCCTCCGGAGCAAACTGTTTCTAGCTCATTGGTTCTTACTCCAGCCTGAGACATGATTACATAGAGCGAAGAAGACATTAGAGGATTCAAACTGGTGGCCTCATTTTGTCATGTGTTTGCTGGAACAAGCAATCTTTGTGGTCTCAAGAGAGAGAGAGAGAAAGAGAGAGAGAGGGAAAAATACTAGATAAACATTGCTCGAGGTTAAACTCAGCAAGAAAGCCCCACAGAGCCGATGGCATTTGGCACTGGAGCACTGATCTCACAGGGTGGGGTAAATTGCATTTGTTTAACATGCTAAGTGTAGAAGGAGGCAGACATTTCCCGTGCAATCGCACGGAGAACATTTTCGAAATGATTTTGTACTATTTACCAATTTAAAGCCCCTTAAATCGCAGCCACGGGCTGGCACGTTCAATGACGATTGGCCAGGAGTAATGAGACATGACAAAAAGTACATTTGAGGCCATTAACTCAGTTGTTGAAGTGAAAATGCAAATTCTGCCTGCGCGGGAGGGGAGACAGCGAAAAGCGAAAAGGGTCCTTGTAATGCGATGAGTTGTAAACAGAAAAAAAGCACAATGTGAGCCTGTCAGACTTATAGTAGACTGTCAAAGTGTCACACTTTGCAGTTTCGCCCGTCAATCATGCTATCTAACCTATTTACAACATAGAGGGCAGTGCACCTGTAGCTGTGCCTAGCTGAGTTTATTTCGCCAGCTTTACATCCGTCTGTGAATCATGTGCTTTTTTTGTTATGTGCGTCATAACCTCTGTATTTTTCTGCTGCCGAATATTTGAGTGAGAAGTGGGAGGGATGAAT